CTAAGAGGATTATGGCTGCTTTTGCTGTGTCATGCAGCTTGTCAGGGAAGTGGGGGAAAGCTGGCAGTCACACCTCACCCAGCTCCTACACAGCACAAGGGCCAGTCTCATTTCCACTGTACCCTGGAAACAGCACCAAGTCTGTTTCCAGGCAGTGGGTTAACAGGGCTGAGAACGTGCCCCAGGCTTCCTGCAAAAATAAGGAGGGCTTTCCTTCTTCCCCAACCTGTGGTCTGCATGTTGGATTCATGCCCTCCCCCAAGTTCTGGCCAGGAGACTTCTTGATTGGTTCAAACTGTTACACAGTTCAGCTGGAGGTTTCCTTCTCCCTGTGGCCTTTTCTGAATGCCCCTGGCAGCCTTTCTCAAGGACCCCTGTGAGGTGAGGCAGAAATGACTTGATAGGGGACCCAGGATCCCACAGGGGTTTTCCTGCTGCTTCCTCTACCCTTGAATTTCGCTCAGCCTTCCAAATTGACTCAGCTCCAGGTAAGGTCAGAATCTTCTCACGTAATCTAGACCTTTAGGTTTCCCAGTCGGGGTGTATGTTCACGGGTGGACAAGCTGCCTTTCCCACTTCCACAGTTTGGGCACTCACAGTATTTGGGGTGTCTCCCAGGGCCTGCTGGTACAATCACTTCCTTCAGAGGGACTGTGGGTTCTCTTGGCTTTCCTAATGTATTCCTGTGGTTGTTCTGGAGCAAAAGTTCATGATGCGAGCCTCCACACACTGTTCTGTCTGTCCCCATTTCTTTTATTTCCAAACCACGTTTGAATCCAGCTTTTCATTTGTACTGAGTGAAGGGGTAATTAAATCTGTAGACACTATGATCTCTAATCTTTTTTTTTTTTTTTTGAGATGGAGTTTCACTCTTGTCGCCCAGGCTGGAGTGCAATGGTGTGGCCTCATCTCACTGCAACCTCTGCCTCCTGGGTTCAAGTGATTCTCCTGCCTCAGCCTCCCAAGTAGGTGGGATTACAGGTGCCCACCATCATGCCCAGCTAAGTTTTGTATTTTTAGTAGAGACAAAGTTTCACCATGTTGGCCAGGCTAATCTCAAACTCCTGACTTCAGGCAATCCGCCTGCCTTGGCCTCCCAAAGTTCTGGGATTACAGGTGCGAGCCACTGCAACCAGCCTCTAATCATTTTTTTATAAAGCAAATCCTCTTATTTGCTTTCATATTTTCCTTTATGCAAGGCAAGTTGCAATCTATGGACCAAATTCAGTTTCTTCTTTTAGATTCTCTAGCCTTATTGGCAAATAATTAGATGAAAAGCGAAGGAGGAGAAAATATAAATCATAATGAAGTAGTGACTGGATAATGTTCCTCAACAATATGATTACTTATCCTCCTACCTACCCCATTTAGTTAGACACCAAATGAAAATGGAAAAAGATTTCCTCACATTTTTTTTAAATTAATGACCAAATAAAGAGACTACCTGCCCCCTCAATGCAAGAGCTCAGAGCTGTGTGTGTTTGTAGAATAAAAAAGTAAGTAAGCAACCCAATACATGTTTTTTTTTTTTTCATTCACTATGTTCTTTATGAATAACAATTTTTTTAGTAGTCAGATATCAAATAAATGGACTATTTTGGAAGTTCAGGGAACGTAATGTGGAAATGCATTGCGTAAGTTATTATAATGTTTTGTGCCTATGTTGAAGCCTATACTATAACTTTATAAATTAGAAAAATATTATAATACCTTAGGCATTTAGTCCTATCATCTGTCTTTCATATTGACTTAGTGGGAAAAAGCCATTTGTCATCTTAGTCCAAGACAATGAAGAATGTTTTTTAGTCTGTCACCAGATGGCAGCAAATGTCAAAATTTTATACTTACAAAAAACCTGTATCTAAGGTAACATATTTTGTCCTTTACATTAGGAACCTATTTGAAATTACTGCCTTGATAAAGTACATAAGATGTAGTAATATAGGCATCTTAGAATATTAGACTATTCCAATTGGAACATGAGTAGATATTGGAACCATTTTACAGGAATGAAAATAAAACTTTTAAATTGGTAACTTCAGTATAAGTAGTTATATAACTTTTAATGATAAATGTCAGTATTACTTTTCTAGTTTTAAAGATGACACGAAAGTTTTCCATTTCAACTGTAGAGACAAAGGAATAATCACATTTTTAGCAGTGGTGGACATGTTGAGGATGCTTATTGAAAACAAAGAACTGCAGCTGGAAGAGCTTTATATTCCATAGTTGGGTGTCAATATATAACATGGCACTTCGTATAAACAAGCATCACCAGATGTTTATTGATGAAATTGAAGCAGCTACATTGTCTGGGGTATATACCCTGGGGTTCGTTGTCATGCACCAGGAAAATTTAGGTCATGGACACACACAAAGAGTTTAAGAGCAAAGGTTAAATAGAAGAGAAAGAGAAACAGCTTCCTCTCTAAAGGGAGGGGTATCTGAGAGGAGAGGACTGTCTGGTGACAAATGTGCTGAGTTTTATAGTCCAGTTTGGAGACGTGGTGTGTGATTTACACAGGGCTCATAGAACTAGTTTGATCAGGCATGATTTTTACATAGTGGCACAGGGAAGTCTGGTCACCTCAACCTAATCTTACACAGGTGGGCTTTCCATTTGATTATGGCCATCTTGTCTGCTCCTTATAGCACACGTGGCTGGCAGAGAAGGGAGGATGGAGCCGCCATCTTGAAAATGTTTGGTCCTTAGTTCCTGATTTGGGGCTACTTTTCATTAAAAAGAAAAGCCTTGGGCCGGGCGCAGTGGCTCAAGCCTGTAATCCCAGCACTTAGGGAGACCAAGGCGGGTGGATCACGAGGTCAAGAGATCGAGACCATCCTGGTCAACATGGTGAAAACCCCGTCTCTACTAAAAACACAAAAAATTAGCTGGGCATAGTGGTGTGTGCCTGTAATCCCAGCTACTCAGGAGGCTGAGGCAGGAGAATTGCCTGAACCCGGGAGGCGGAGGTTGCTGTTAGCTGAGATCGCGCCATTGCACTCCAGCCTGGGTAACAAGAGCGAAACTCCGTCTCAAAAAAAAAAAAAAAAAAAAAGAAAGAAAAGCCTTACCAAGGACTCCCATACTCTTGCTGTCTGCCTAAATGATTTTTTCTTAACTCGTATGTCAAAATGATTAAAATAAAGGATAAGAGAACTTGGATAGGAGGTCACTTAGCAGGTCAGATATGGGAAGAAATAAGGATTTGTATTTGTTTATATGATCATACAAAATTCAAGTATTAATATCCTTTAACATAAGAATTTAAAAATTGTGAAGAAATATCAGTGTACATTCTACACGTTTTTACTAGGTACATCCTGTGTAACAGACATTGTGCCAGGTAGTGGGTATATAGTAGTGAATAAGACAGTCTAAACCTTGCCTGTATTATCAGATTGTTAATACTAAATCTAAAGTGGTAAGTTATTGCATCTATGAGAAGGAATCAAGAATCTTTGAAAATATACAAATTAATTTCAGTATTAAAAATTTTGCATGTACTCCGGAGGCTGAGGCAGGAGAATTGCCTGAACCCAGGAGGCGGAGGTTGCGGTGAGCTGAGATCGCGCCATTGCACTCCAGCCTGGGTAACAAGAGCGAAACTCCGTCTCAAAAAAAAAAAAAATTTTGCATGATAAAATGTTAAAATATCACGTTTACAATTTTAATCATATGATTAAGTTACATTTAGGGTATATCCTAAATTGATACACAAAGATTCCTTCTTTGATCTACTATATTAAATCTTATTTTAAATTTTTTTATTAGAATTTATTCTTTTGAGTTGTATGGTGCTTGTTTTATTTGGTGTTTGATCTCTTTCCACACAGTGATTTATAATATTTTAGAGAACTTTATATGTTGTATTATAGAGCAAGTAGGGATTTCTGTTTGAGATTCTACTGTGTGTTTTCTTAGGCGGAAAATAAATTATGTTTAGGCAGGATAGGTATCTGAAGTCCTAGATGAGTTTCACATATGTCATTTATTCACATGCATATTTAAGGTGCTGCAGGTGCTGGAAAATCAGTGATAAATAGATTCATTCCTTGCTCTTAAGGAGTTGTCTTGGTAGAGAGACATTAATCAGATAATGAGCAGTATATAATTACATAAGGAGGTAAGGAAAGGAGCATGGTTCTATGATAACATATAACAAAGGAACCTGATGTAGATCAGTGTATCAGAGAAGGCTTCCTTGAAGTTGTACATGATGTGAAAGATTTAACTCTGCAAAGGTTGGTGGGTGTAAGCTGGTACCAAAACAGATGTGAGTTTTGAAAAGATATCTCTAGCATTAGTTTAGAGACACTGAATTCAAGGAGGTGAATTAGAAGCCTATTCTAGTTATTCAGGAGAAATTACAACTTTTGAGTAGTGGCAGTAAAGAGAAATGGACAGTAATTAGAGATATTAAAAATTTAGGTGGTAAAATTAAAAAAAAAAACCATGCATGAAGGGCTTGGGAATGGAGAGGTATGAAAGATGAGGCTTTGTTTTTTGAGTTGCACAGAGCAGCAACATTCACCAACAAACACAGAAAAGGAACCATGTATGGTTTTAGACTTGTTGAGTTTGAGGATGTTTCTGTTCAGTGGCAAACAGAGAAGTAGTAAGGATACATGGGTCTGGAACTTCAAGGAGTTTGGGCCAAAGACGTAAATTAGGATTCATTAGATTGTCTGTGGTTATTGAGGTTGTGTAGAAAGAGACTGAAAAAAACAAGTGAAGGCAGCTTAAGCTGAGTCTTGAGGGACTCCTAACTCTACTGGCAGAGGAACCTGCAAAAGGGACCAAAAAGAAGACACTGTAAAGATGGGGAAAATGTCAGTAGTGAACGGTGTTGCAAAGATCAAGGGAAGGGAGTGTTTAAGCAGGAGTGTTTAATGCTGAGAGATTAAAATAAGAATCGGCTAGAAAAACATTGAAAATTCTAAGCAAATGCATTTTTCTACATTAGTAATTACAAAATATGCGTTTTCCTTTTATTTAGGTACATCTACTATGCTTCTTACTAGAATAAACTGTGCAGATTGGTCTGATGTATGTACTAAGCAAAATGTTACTGAATTTCCTTTTGTAAAGATGTACAAGAAAGGCAAGAACCCAGTATCTTACACTGGAATGTTAGGAACTGAAAATCTCCTAAAATTTATCCAACTGTAAGTATTCAGCTTTATTACAAGATCTCTAAATGTTTAGGTCTGTGAAAGTTCTAATTCTCAGACTTTGCTAACATTCTTTAAATAGGTTAAGGAGGATACTAGAATTGAGATCATAAAATAAATATTCATGAGAGTCTATGTACATTTTGTCACTTTTGGGGAGATAGTAATTTTGTTTAATGAGTCTGATTTTCTTTAAGAATAATATTTAATTTTCTGTATTTATCCTATGTAATATATTATTTGCTATGTTTAGTATATTTTATTTTTTTACAAACTGAAAATATCTTTAAAAATTAATTTTTAATATAGTTATATATTCATCCAGCAATAGGATTTCATATCCAGTGAATATAACATCTATCCAAGAAGCAGAAGAATATTTAAGTGGGGAGTTATATAAAGACCTGATCTCCTATTCTAGTATGTCAGTATTGGGACTATTTAGTCCAACCATGACAACAGGTAAGTATAGCTGAGCTTTTAAATTATACAGTATTATTGCTTGCTAGTTTTATTTTTTAAGAATATCTTTTTAAGTTATAAAGAATTTCAAAATTATAGAAGTTTGAAGAAAAATAAAATGCTGTAAGCTAATTATTCAGAGACACATACTGTTAAATTTTGTTGTAATTTCTTCCATCTTTTTTCTGTTTACCTACACATCGCATGTTTATGTAGGTTTTAATATAATTGGGCTAAAGCTGTATGTCTAGATTAGAATCTTGTTTTTTGTTTTTGTTTGTTTTAGAGACAGTCTCGCTCTGTTGCTATGCTGGAGTGCAGTGGCGAGATTTCTGCTCACTGCAACCTCTGCCTTCCGGGTTCAAGTGATTCTCCTGCCCCAGCCTCCTGAGTAGCTAGGACTACAGGTGGCACCACCATGCCCAGCTAATTTTTGTATTTTTAGTAGTGATGGGGTTTCACCATGTTGGCCAGGATGGTTTCAATCTCTTGATCTTGTGATCCACCCGCCTCAGCCTCCCAAAGTGCTGGGATTACAGGTGTGAGCCACCGTACCCAGCTAGAATCTTGTTTTTATTTAACATTATATTGATGTATTGGTATTCTTCATGAACATTATGGCTGCATAATATTTGGTGAATATATATACCAAACTGTATTTGAATTTGTTTATTTTGTTTTGTTTTGTTTGTTTGTTTTTGCCTGGAGTGCAGTGGGGTGATCTTGGCTCACTGTAACCTCCACTTCCTGGGCTCAGGCAATCCTCCCACCTCAACCTTCTGAGTAGCTGGGACCACAGACATGTGTCACCATGTCTGGCTAATTTTTTGTATTTTTGTAGAGACAGAATTTCACCATGTTGTCCAGGCTAGCCTTGAACTTCTGAGCTCAAGCAATCCACCCACCTTAGCCTGCCAAAGTCTTGGGATTACAGATGTGAGCCACTGCACCTGGCCTTATTTGACTATTTACAAACAATATTTGTACTGTTTTCTTTTTTTTTTTCCTTGCTGTATGTGAAGAACATTTTTGAGTTTTTGTATTGATTTTAGACTATATAATGAATTTGGATTCCCAATAGAATAATTTATGTCTTCTGTAAATTGTAGGTTATATACATTACTCACTGATTTTTTTTTGAGGCAGGATCTCGCCCTGCTACCCAGGTTGGAGTGCAGTGGCACAATCACAACTCACAGCAACCAAAATCTTCTAGGCTTAAGTGATCCTCCCACTTCAGCCTTCTGCGTAGCTAGGATTATAGACATATGCCACCATGCCCACTAATTTTTAAATTTTTTGTAGAGACGAGATCTCCTTATGTTGCCCTGGCTGGTCTCAAACTCCTGGGCTCAAGTAGTCTTCCTGCCTTGGCCTCCCAAAATGCTGGTATTATAGGCATGAGCCACTCTGCTTGCCCACTCATTTTTTAACATAGGGTTTTATTGTTTGTCTAATGAATTGGTGTGTGATCTTTGTATATTAAGGAGATTAAGCTTTTGTCGTTTTGTTCCAGTTATTTTCCCTCAGTTTGTTATTGCTCGTTAGTTTGTTGAATAATTCTTATATAACAGTTTAACTTTTTAATCTATTGATTTTAAGATTTCTTCCATTGCTTTTAGCTATTAAAAACATATCATTTTTATCAGCTAATATTCACCTGTATTTTCTTTTTTTATAGTATTTTCTTATTTTAATTTATCTTGCTTTGTATATTTGTTTTTAAAAATTTTTTCAATAAAATACACATAACCTAAAATTTACCGTCTTACATGTTTTAAAGTGTATGTTCTACAAATATTAAGTATATTCACATTGTTGTACAACTAATCTGCAGAACATTTTCATCTTGCAAAACTGAAACTCTGTACCCATTAAACAATAGTTTTTCATTTCATCCTCCTTCCAGGCCCTGGTAACCACTGTTGTGTTTATATGAGTCTGACTACTCTATGTACCTCATATAGTTGGAATCATATAATATTTGTCTTTTTCTGACTGGCTTATTTCACTTACCATAGTGTCTTCAGAGTTCATCTGTATTGTAGTATATGTCAGAATTTCCTTCCAATTTTAAGCCAAATAGTATTCCATTGTATGTATATCATATTTTGTTTATCTGTTTATCCATTAATGAATGTTTGGGTTACTTCTACCTCTTGGCTCTTGTTAATGCTGTTGTGAACATAGGTATGGAAATACCTCTCTGGGACTCTGCTTTCAATTATTTTGGATATATACTGAGAAGGGCAATTGCTAGGTCATATGGTAATTCTGTTTTTAATTTTCGAGGAACCGCAGTACTATTTTCCACACTGGCTGCATCATTTTACATTCCTACCAACACTGTATCAGGGTTCCAATTACTTTAACGTCCTTGCCAATACTCATTATTTTATTTTATTTTTTATGATAGCCATCCTGATGGGCATGAGGTGATATCTCACTATGACTTTGATTTGCATTTCCCAAATTATTAGTGATGTTGAGCATCTTTTCATTATGCTTGTTGGTCATTTGTATATGTTTTTTGGAGAAATGTTTATGTAACTCTTTTGCCCATTTTAAAATTAGGTTATTTATATTTTTTGTTGTTTAGTTACAGAAATTCTTCTTTTTTTTTTTTTTTTTTTTCTGAGACAGTGTCTTGCTCTGTCACCCAGGCTGGAGTGCAGTGGTGCAATGTCAGCTCAATGCAACCTCCGCCTCCAGGGTTCAAGGGATTCTTCTGCCTCAGCCTCCTGAGTAGCTGAGATTACAAGTACTCACCACCATGCCCAGTTAATTTTTGTATTCTTAGTAGAAATGGGATTTCACCATGTTGGCCAGGCTGGTCTCCAACTCTTGACCTCATGATCTGCCTGCCTCAGCTTCCCAAAGTGCTGGGATTACAGGCATGAGCCACTGTGCCCGGCCTGCAGAAATTCTTTGTATATTCTGGATATTATCCTTTATCAAAGATTCGATTTGTAAATATTTTCTCTCATTCTTTAGGTTGCCTTTTTACTCTGCGATTTTTTAAAAAATTTTTATAATTTTTAATTTTTTTCTTTTTACCTGTATATGTCAAGGAATTTTTTTCTTTTTTAAAAGTTTTTAACCCTGTTTTAGTGCATGGGATGAGTATAGGGGCCAACTTATTTTTTTTCCTAATATTTAGCGTTTATCCTTTTGTTCTCTACACTGTATGTGATTTCACCATCACCTTATTATTTATCTATATGTGTGTTTATATGTCTGTTTAATTGTTTTCTATTTTATTCACCTTATCTACCTATTGATACTTAATCTATTAGTTTTATAATACATGTTGACTATATGGTCAAGTCTCTGATTTGTCTTTTTAAGTATTTTCTTGTTTTTGTTTTCCTATTGACTCTTCTTGGGGAACTTTAGTCATTTATAATTTTTCTCTTAACTGATTTGGGTATCTCCTGCTTGTTTTAAGCTTCGTTGGTGTTTCTTTAGTTTTTCTCTATTTTTAAAAATACAGTGTATGCTGCTTTAGCTTGTATTTTCTCCAGGACTAGAGAAAAATATTCCCCCAAAACGTATTTGAACCTATGAAGTTAAAGATCGTTTCAATGAATTGGACTCCCTCTTGTGGAAGATGGTTTTAATTTCTTTCTTTTTTTTTGAGACAGAGTATTGCTCTGTAACCCAAGTTGGAGTGCAGTGGCATGGTCTCGGCTCACTGTAGCCTCTGCCTTCAGGTTCATGTGCCTCCCAAGTTGCTGGGACTGCAGGCATGTGCCACCATGCCTGGCTAATTTTTGTATTTTTAATAGGGATGAGATTCTGTGGTTTTTTTTTTGTTGTTGTTTGTTTGTTTGTTTGTTTTGTATGCTGTGGTCTCATGTTACGGACTCATAATATCTTTATTGCTGACTTTTATTTATTTTTTATTTATTGCATCATACATAACCAAATGTAAGTTTTTGAAAGAAAATCCTTGCATTCACTTTTCCAACATTTTTGCAAACATACTCACCACCTAGATTCTGCCATTAACATTTAGTATTTGCTTTAGTACATACCTGTATATCTTTCCATTTATTAATTCACCTTATTTTTGATGCAATTCAAATTAATGTTTTTGCATTAAACTTTGATATAATGCTTATAACAATTATTTTTACTTTGACAATTTTACATGGCATCATGAAGTACTGTATTCCTTTAATATCACACCTTCTCTTTTCTTAGACTCTTACTCTTTATTTATCTCTTGCTTCACAGGAATGTGTATTTCAGTAAGTTATTAAAAAAGGGTACACATAGGGTGTTTTTTCTAACCAGTGGTATTTCTGGTAATGTTATTTGTTGCTTTTGCATCTAGGTGGCCTCTTAAGTCAGTAGCAAAACCCTCAATGTTTTCTTCACTGTACTAATTCTTACCATTTATCTAGGAAACTTTGCTCCTCCTTGTTTTTTTCTTTTCTTGAGATGGATTTTAAATTCTGAATGAAAGATTTTAAGATATTTGTCTGAGAAGAGGACCTTACTGTTCTAGCTTTATATTTGCACATAATAGATACTATTAACTACTTATTAAATTTTGCTTTCTACAAATTTACATCTAGCAATTTTTTTCTACTTTGTTTTCAGAATTGTAAAAAGTAAAAGCCAAAGAAACTTACAAAAAAATAAGAATATTAATGTGTGCCCTGTGACTTATCATTTTTGAAGGCAAAATCCTAGAGAGAGAATCTTTTCTTTTTTCAGGCAGAGTCTTGCTCTGTCGCCCAAGCTGGGATGCCAGTGGTGCCATGTCACTCACTGCAACCTCCACCTCCCAGGTTCATGCAGTTCTCATACCTCAGCCTCCTGAGTACTAAGACCACAGGCATGTGCCATGCGGCAGCACACTCAGTTAAGTTTTTGTCTTTTTAGTAGAGATGGGGTTTCACTATGTTGGCCAGGCTGGTCTCAAACTCCTGGCCTTTAGTGATCTGCCCACCTCAGCCTCCCAAAGTGTTGAGGTTACAGACCTGAGCCAC